AAAGCATTTTATGTGCACTAAATTTCTGTTGTGTTATACATTTGAACCAGTTTCTGATCACTTACATCAGTTTGTGTGATTTCTGTCCCTAGCCAATGAGAAGAGTGACTATGTCAGTTCTAGAATTTTTGCTGGCTCAGCTTTAGGTTTAAATTCTTTCCTGCAAAGTTTTTTTTAAATTTCAAGCCTGACCTCTACAGGTAGATAACTGAAATAGGTAGTGTCTTATGATTACAAGTTGTGTAAACCATTTCTTAATCTTGCAGCAGGCCAATGTTCCAACTAATTCAAACACCTTTGAGGAAAATTAAATATTTAAAAGCTTATTTTAAAAACACCAGTATTTGCACTGATGTCATGCTCACTTTATTCCAGCAAATGGATTTTTGCATAACGTGCACCCACAATAAATAAGCAATACCATCCAGTTATCTTTTTCTACTCCCTTTTTTGTTCTCTTCCCCCCTGCTTATCCACCACGTATGTGATGCAGCATGTTCTTTCATATCTATAGAAACAAATGTTACTTTCAAGTCAGTAACATAAATTGTGTTCTGCAAAATTCATGTTTTTAAATGCCCTGATTGGGGCATTTTTGCTGCCTTTTTTTTTAAATCATAACCAACTATTCTAACAAACTATCCTTTGTCCAGTGAATGAGTCCCCTCTGTTCCCACAAACCTACAGCACATGTTACCATAGTTACTCTGCATGTCTATTTACCACACAAGTGATCAAAGAAAGCAGACAACACACACATACACATATACATACAAAAACCTTGCCAGACTTCCTACTGGGTTATGTCCAGCCACTAATTAACTGATATATTCTCAGCCTATGGACTCCATACATTTGTTTTCTTTATTGTATGGGGTACACAAAAAAAGCAGTATTCCCTGAGATAAAGTTTGAAGCAGCTCTTCCTATATGGTTACGATATTTCAGTGTAAGGAAGTATTTTTCTCAGTGAGGAATAAATTAAGAATTAAAAAAGGTGTGCTACAAAAACTCGGAAATAAAAACCACATGTTCAAAAGCTAACATCTGTATAAAAAGGGGATGATTTTATATTTTACATGTGCTATCAACTAAACTCTACCCAGTGTGTATTCACTCTGTAAGTCATATGCCATAAAAACTGCATGCCTATATTTATTATAAATAAGAACTGAAAGGGCCTTCTGTGCCTTATGGATTTTGTTTTCACTTTTAATTAGATTTCAAATGTTCCATCAGTAAAATGCATGTCTCTTTGGACCTTTTTCAGTCTAAAGAGCCGGATCCTGTCACGATCCAAGTCAATGGAGATCATGTCATTTTACTTCAATGCATGGAAAAATCAATCTGCTGTCAGAACATCCTGTGAGCTAAATTATGATATTGGCAGATGCAAAGTCATTATTGTGGCCAACAATGGAGTTTAAGAACAGGGAATATTGATATCCCTGTGCTTCTAATTGTCATGGAATAGATTTGGGCAACCTAAAACAGATACCACAGTGCCCTCTCCAGTTCTCAAGTAAATTCTAAGACCAGACATGGAAAATAAATCCAGTCAGAGTGGCCTCGTCAAACACTTGAGGTCTGGCACACAAGATTACAGATTCTTAAGTAAAGAGTAGATCATTTTTGAGTTTCTTTACCTATGACCTTTTCTCCCTTAATGAGTTGGACAGAATTTAAGTAGAGAACCTTAAGATTTGTTAGCTAGTAAGGGTTTTCTGCTATCATTTCACAGCTTCTGAAAAACCACAGAGTTCACTTTCTTATCCTTACACAAGGTCAGGTAGGCTTATTCTTGTTTAGATGCTTGACATTTTCCAGCCACTGAATACCCAATATACTCCCAAAGATGTGATATACACAGTAGCATGGGCGGCTGGTGCCTCCCAAGTCTGGGGGAGCATCAGTGAGGCATGACCAGGGGGGAGAGTCCCCCAGTGGCCAACTGGCAACTGGGGCGGGGGTTCCCCAATGGCCAAGCAGTGACTGGGGGAGTTCCCCAACAGCCGGTCTCTGAGTGCGCCGGTGGCATGGAGCCAATTTTAGGGAAGACACTAGCACTCTCCATGCCCAGAGTGCAGTGCTTGCTGTCAGGGAGGGCATCAGTGCTCTCGGGGGGGGGGGAGTCCTCCCCCTTTGTGCCCCCCCTATGCATCACTAATGCACAGTAGTTGTACAGGGAACTTTGTATTTTCACTACAGAAGTTGCAGTCAGGATATTACTCGTATGACAGCACAGAAACAGCTTTTGCTGAGGTTTCAAATGACCTCCAGATAAAGACTGCTTCTTTTTACCTGCCTCATTTACAAGTCTCTACACAGCATTCTATACCACCAACCATACTGCTATCCTGCAAGTTCACTTACAGACTGCTGGCTGGGCACAATTGTAAAGCAGGTTGAATCTTATCAGCTCAACAGGCTGCATATTACATTTCTATGGAGAACTGCTGCTCTTCTACTAGGGAAGTTAGTTTCAGTGCTCTCTTCTGAGGATAGGCACTATTGTTCACTATCTGTAACATGCCTTTGGGCTAGACCATTCATCTGCACAATGTGTAGTTGCATTTCAATGCTGATGACACACTTTCCTGTGTGATGGTTAACCCTAAAATTCCAAACAATACTGCAGTTTGTGATGACAAGTCATGCAACAGTTACGTAAGACCTACCATTTCCTGAATGTGCCTTTTTGTTAGATATTTTTAAAACAGAGACAAGGCCATTTCACAACTCTTTTTTCATGATACATGCTTTTTTATTTTGAATTGATTTCCAGCGATTGCATTTGATAGGTTATCCAGATTTTCAATTACCTTGTAAAAAGACAATATCAATCCCTATCATGATATAGTATGTGTCCTTTCAATTCTAGATTTACTAGCTCACTCGATTTTGTTCAGCAAACACTTGTAGTAAATACTGACTGTGTCCGCTGCCAAACTGAAAAAGTTTATAAATATATAAATAAATAAAACACAGAAATCCTCTGAGAACTTCAATTGTACACCTGAAGGTTTTGAATTACACTTTGACTCCTGGGAGCGTCTACAAAAAAAATTAACCATTGATTAACAAGTCCACCTAAGTGAAGGAGCAATCTGATCAGAGACGTCCCACCTGCCCTCCCCAGGTCAAATCTTACAGGGGGCTCTCTATCTTATGGGGGAACTCAGCCCCCCCACCCCACCCCCGAGCTCCCACTTAATTCGCACCCTGTACACCTCGCATAGCTAAGCACATATATAGTTGCAAATCTTCAATGAAAGTAGTTGCTCTGTTATTGGGATATCAAATTAGCTTTCAGTTATACAAGGAATAACTGCACTGAAATTAAGTGGCTGGCCCACAGCACTGTAAAATGCTTATCCACTCCACTTTATGGGTTCAGCTTCCCAGAGAATACTGCTGATTCAAAGGAAGTGAAAGAAGGGAGACATCTGTCGGATCAAGTTGGGCATTACCAAAGGAGGCAAGACTATCCTATTGCTGTCTGCTTTTCCCCTATTCCTTTTGCTTAGAAGACATCAAGGAACTTTTTCATTTTCTCACTTTATATTCGCTCTTTAAAAAATTATTATTTTCTCACCTATTTGTCTACCTCTTCCTTTCACTGAACTGTGCACCCTCTCTCACGCACACACACAAATGTGCTTTTTAAACATGTGCTATAAATATAAGCATCCTAGAAAGGCATTATTCATCCAGTGGTAACAGTTTTGTAGCTAGCATTTTGTTGTGCTGTATGTCATTTTAATCTGTTTTGTCACTGCTTTAACACCTCTTTTTGCTAAGTGGAGTTGGGTAGGGGAAGGATCTGACCAAGTGCAAATGATGCAGTATACACTTTAGTTTTCATTTGCATGGTGACAAGAAATCTCTCAATCAGTGACCTTTAAGAAGGGGCAAATGGATTTTTGCCCAATACCTAAAACTGCTCCCCTCCTTATGGCAGACTAGACTAAAATACTTAAGATCCCTACCTTGTTTTGAAAAAAATCAGGAAAAAATGCTCCACTTGCACTGCAGGTGCAAACTTCTTTCCATCTCCCCCTCATCCCCCACCAAGCCCTACAGACTATAGAGACTTCCTTGAATATCACTCACACAAAGGAACTAGAATGCTTTTCTCAGATGCTTTTCTCAGATAAACCACTCATCTATTGTTCTATAGGTAGCCAAAGTATTGCTCTTGAGATGATTTTTATGTTGATTTTCAAGGGTCTTCCAGCTGGAACTGATTTAGTTTTAAGATACAGCTCTATCAGTGCTCTGCGCTCCCTCAGTCCTTTTCTAACTGCGTATTTTTGTTGTAAAACTATGCACCATGAATGATGAAAACATTTCCCACTGTGAACTTGAACTATGGGAATACAAGTTGAATGTGGGGGGGCAGAGGAGAGAGCTGGTTTTGTCTATTCAGGTAGACAGCAAGCTTTAAAAAAATCTCATTTGAATACTCACTGGTTTTCTAGATCATTTTATTCAGTGCTAAAGTACTTTTTAAAAACTGTAAGATGACTTGAGACCAATATATTTTAAAGCTATTGAAAAATGTAAGTGGTATGTAAGAGTGTTATGCATGGTTAAATAAATCAGCCCTGCACAGTATTGACACATCTACAATTATACCCACAAGTTTTCTCAGCATATGTATCATAAATGAAGCTGTGAGAGAGCCTCCATAATACAGTCAAGCCATGGCAAACAAGAATTGATTAGCATATCCTACAAACAGCTCTCATGCACTTAGAAATCCTGAATCACACAATGACTTGCATGGCATCACTTAGTACCAGCAGAATCAAACTGAAAGTAAAAACTCTTGCTCAGTTAATTTTAACCTTCCCTTTAAAAACAAACACAGGGCTTCAGGCTAAAAACCTAAACTCTGTGAAGGTTATCTAGCAAGCAAAGGTTTACAGAGCAACCCAGCCTTTTCCCTTCTCCCCAGCCTTTTGAAACCTCTGAATGCTTTGCCGTCTGTTTCTTACCTGCCTCATGTTTAGAATTCCATTATCCATCCAGCAGGGAACAATCTGCTTCCAAACTTACGGTGCAGTTTCAGAGTAAAAACACAAATCCGTCAAGTTCCCCAGTACAAACAAGCTGGTCAGTTTTTCGCTCTCATTTCCTTTTATCTTTTTTCTGTGGAGAGTCTTCCTAAAACAATGTCAAGTTTCTAAACCTTTTCTCCTAGCCTATTAAAAGTCAGGAGTAGGGAGGCAACTGTCCGCTTAGCTCTTATTTCAAATCACAGCTCAGAGATGTAGTAGTTGGCTGAATTAGGCCATGAAATAGCCTCACCAATCAGGATAAAGGGGAGGGAGATAGAGCACATAAAGGCTGCCTACATGAGGATTAGGAAAGCTTTCAAGGATTTAAAAGACTGAAAGCAGCTGGAAACAGTGTCTAAGGCTACAAAGAGGGAAGTCAATTTGTGGTATAAGAGATTATTTCCATTCTTATCTAACTGCTCTGGGTCTGCTCAAAGCTTATCAGACTCCTGAGACTTAAAAACAAGAAAATGTAAATGCCCAGTAAAACTACTGAAATATTGGAGAGCTGCACAAGCACTTAACCAGGGACGCTGCGGAGTAGCAACGCCCATTCTGTTAAGAACCACAAGTCACTAGCAACAGAGGAAACACCGACTTTGAAAGTCCTATCAGATTAGAAGGCATAAAACAGCATGACAGGAAAGGAAAGGAGGCAAAATATGATCAGCAATTCACATGTAGAGCAAATGTGCATCTGCCTCAAGAAACTAAAACCTATGAAAATACGCACAGGAATCTGTAGAAACCAGAAAAGATTCTGTGATACCATTTCATTTGTCTCACTAACAAACATCTAGCATTAGCATTAAATCTTGATTTTTCTGTTTAGACAGGATATCAATCTTGCCAGTTTGTTCCAAGCCTACATTTATACTATACTCCATTTTCCATTGCATAAAACAATCCAGACTTTTAAGAAATTGGGGGGTGGAGGGAGGTGGCTAGGTGGGAGTTTCAATCTTTTTCCAGTGGGACCAATTTTAGCTGTTCAGTGCCCCATGTGTGTCCTTCATTATCTTTCTTTAAAATTAACTGAACCTGATGTGTGGCTGCTGTTTTTTAAGCCAGAAAATAGAGAAAGCTACAAAACTGTGGATTCACATCTGTCCACTCCTATGCTCTCCCCTACAACCTCTACCCTGCTGTCTCAGACTTAAAATCAGTTTAGAAGGCTGCTAGTTTCTCTCTTCCACTCTAAATGGAAATCTGTCTTTTGATCTCAGGGGACAATTGGACAAATCTGATGTCTGAAGAAGAACCTCCACATCGTAGATTTGCTACAGCAAGGAGTATACTGGCAAGGCAAGTAGTAGTCACTACCCAAAAGATTCCTATCAAGTCAAGAGATCTACTGTACTGAGCTGCAGAAAATTAGTGTTACACTGATATACTGCTAGTATTTTAATTAAAATGTTTTTTAAACATGTTTCCCTTTACCCTGTGATAAACTTCCTGTACCAAAGCTGTCTATATTGCACAGTTAGGAGTGAAGGATTGGAGAATATAGTCGTTCTTCCATTTAAAATAAAATATTGTTTTCATAAGCATAAATAAGAAAGGAAGTAATATCATATTTGCCAAATCCTCTCCTATGAACAGAAAATACATAACAAAATTGATGGGTAAGAGGTAGGGGAAAGCTCACTTTAAGATACCTTTACAATCCTTAGATTGTAGGTTGGCCGTGTGTTTCTGTGATCCCAACATTTCAACTAAAGCATCCAGGGTGCTTAAACTTGCAGCAAGTGCCAGCAGCCCCTAAAGGACTGTTAGGGCACACTGCATAAGGATAACTGCATAAGGATTATCTACAGCAGCTACAGACAGAATGACTTAGGCATCCTCTAGTGGCCAACTATAGCAATGTTAGGGACTCTTCACTAAAAAAGCTGTTCCTGAGAGTCTGGTGCATTAATAGACATGTTTAAACTCTGTATCTGGAAAACTGCCTGTATCCACAGCTCACTATCCAGATCATGCCATCTTAAATGTTTCATACAACCTTTTGCTGTACTAAACCTAGGAGAAATTGCTAAGGAATGCACTCACTAGCTAGGGACAGACCTTCAAAAAGCCAGAGTCCAAATTGAATCAATCTTTGCAGGTTAGTCTAACCCGCCTAGATTGAATCAATTTGCAACTGAATAGACATTCAGGAAATGCAGGCACATGCCTGCAGTGGCTCAGGCCAGAAGTCTGGGGGCACTAGAGCGTGCCCTTGACTGCAGAGAAGCTGGTTGGGGGGGGGGAGGGACACACCATAGCCAGGCCCTCCCTGTCCCACTGGCACAGACCTGAGCTGGAGTCAGCTGGGCGCTCCCCACTTACCGCTACAGTGGCTAAGGCAGAGGTGCAGCCAGACACTGGCTGGCATGGACCCCTAAGGCAAAGGGGGCAGGGAGGGGGTTATCCCCCCGCCCACCCCCTGAGCACCTGGAGGACTGCAGCTGGGGTCTGCCAGCCCCATCCGCTGCCTCTGCTGATTGCTGCCTGTGCAGGGTGAGCAGTGGGATAAGCTCCTTCCCTGTCTCCTCTGATAGATGCCAAAAGGAGGGGGGAAATAACTCTCCCTGTCCCCTCACCTAAGGGGGCCATGCCAGCCAGCTTCTGGCCATACCCCAGCCCCTGCTGCTGAAGCAGTGATGGGGGAGCAGCTCTGGCACTGTAGCAACCCCTCACATGGTTTCCTGGGAGCTCAAGCCTCTTCCCAGTGAGGGGTTGCACTGCGGCTGGGAGTGGGGCAGGCAGAGCTGCTGCATACTGCATGGGGCAAGCAGCAGTATCAGTGCTTGGAGGGGTGGCCATAGCCCCCCACCAAAGCACCCTCCTAGCACCACTGCTCCTCACCCCACACAGTCTGCAGCAGTTCTAACTGCCCCGCGACTGCCCGCAGTGCAGTTCCCCCGCCCCCACTGGGAAGAGGCTTTCACTCCCCGGGAAACCTTGAGAGGGGCTGCTGCCCCCATCATGGCCCCTGCCCACTTGTTACTCCAGCAGCAGGGGCAGAGGCACATCCAGAGGCTGGCCAGCATGGGCCCCTTAGGTGTCATGGCTGTCAGACCCTGGCTGCAGTCCCTCAGGGGCAGAGAGGGTGGAGAGGAAAATAAACCCTCTTCCTGCCCCCTCTGCCTCAGAGGGCCATGCTGGCCAGTGCCTGGCCAGGCCCTTGCCCCTGCAGCAATGAAGTGGGAATGCCAGGCAGACCCAGCCTGGAATTAAACCACCTCCTTGGCTAGTTCCCTTGAGGCTACTGCCAGGGCTGGCCACATCCCTGCCACTGGAGCACCAAGTAGAGAAATGCCTGGCAACAGCTGCTGCGCCCCTGCCTGGCAGACCCTGATGGGGTTTGTGCTGATGGGACAGGGGAGGGAGGGGGGAATAAACCTCTTCCCTGCCCCCTTCAACTTAGGGGGCCAGTGTCTGTCCATGCCTCTACCCCTGCTCTGGCTAGAGAGCAGAGGGGCAGGGCCAGCCCTGCTCTCTGGAGCAGACCGCAGGGCTGCAAAATGCTGGGGTCTGCGATTTAACTTGAACCAGGAAGGAGTCTGGGACAGAAGTTTCATAAACCAGTTTGAGCTCAGTCAGTTAAGTCTGATACTGCATTCAACCAGGTTTATTTCAAACCAATTTCAGCCATTTTGAGACTGGTTTATGTGCACTGATCTTCTGTTCTGTTACAGGTTTAAACCAGTTTCTGATCACTTAAACTGGTGAACCAAAAGGTAAAAAGAATAATGCTACTGTATAATAATCTGAACCCCAGGGAAAAGTAATGTCTGCCAAGAGTGATTTAGCAGTATCCAGAGACAGGACAAAATTTACCAAAACTGGAGAATTATTACACATTTCCTGCAATTTGGTCTCAGCACTTTAATTCAAGGAACCTCCAGCACACTACCTCCAGCATTTCCCTGGGAATCTTTTTATTCATCTTTAGTTATGTAAGTCATATAAAGGAAGATGAAGAAATGATAAGAACACTTCAAGAAAGACAAGTCTTTTAAAATGCCACTCCTAGCACTGAGCTGTATACATATTTTATCAGAAGACAGGGGTTCAGTTTTCACGACCATTAAGCAAAATTTAGCATAAAAATATTGTCCAATTTTCTGAAAACCCATGCTTGTTGTAAGCAATGAAGAATCATTCCCAACCAAATGATGTTTGCCACAGCATGTTGTGGAAAGTGTTTCTGCTAACAAGCTGAATGTTCTATATGGTTGCCTTTTATCCTCTGTTCAGTTAAATTTCCACATTCAAGGAGAATAGTTTCTGATCCTTCTGTAATTGGCAATACTAAGCTAATGTTTACACTTGGTATACTCAAGTGCAGGACAGATTTAGAAAATTGGGCTTCTCTAATGTTTTGTACTGGCACAGAGTTCTTCAAAGTCTTCTGAAAGGCAGAAGATAAATGGAGATGTCACAAGATCCTGCCTTTGAGCACTGCCAGACACTGAAAAAGACTGAAGGAAGGTTTTGAACTTTGTAGTGAGGTTGTGTTTCAAAGGCTAAAGCAATAGGACTGGATTTGAGGTACTGATATTGCCATGTGGGTTAGAAATGTAGATGTCATTGCCTTTCTCTTGCATGAATATTTCACTTCTGTGTGATACAGAGGTAGGTACGAATTGCATGATCTATAAGGGTGTAGAAAGAAAAAAGATTCCACTGTGATAAAAACTGTTTTGAATCTACTCTGTGTTGCCCATAAAGAGAAGCTACTGTAGATATAAATGAACTAACTTTAAATTACCTAGTCAGAGTATCAATACTAGTGCCTCTACAGTGGCCTGAGTTTCAGCATGGGCTGCCTAAAGCCCTCTATATTTACTTGGGCACTAGCTGCCACTGAAACTTGTGCTGGCTTCCTGCTATCAAGCTAGCTCAGGTATATCTAACTTCTGTTGTCAGAGTACACATACCCTTAGGCATAGGCAACTTGTAGGGAAGGCATGGGGGGGGACACTGGTTTCTGCGGGCGGTCACCACTTGCCACCCCTACCCCGCCAATGCCGCTGGCAGCTTCTGTGGGTGGTGACCGCTTGCCACCCTGCCATTGACACCACCAACACTGCCACCCACGAAGTGTGCCCTCCCCTGGCCCCAGCCTCAGGAGGCACCAGTCTTTCATGCCCTTAGGGCTAAATACAGACAGTCAAAAAGCCCAAGGCTGAATGGATTCAGTCTCTGCAGGTTACTCTAAGAT